TTCAGTTTTTCATCCTAAATATAAATTTATTAGAAAAAAATTTAATACATTTCTTTTTATTTTTTTTAATTAATATTGTTTTCTTTTCTTTTTTTTTTATGTTTACATTTAGATTTAAGTTTTTGTTTTATCTTTTAGGTATGTATGTATGTATATGTATATATTCCTTTTAATTCGATTATATCTGTTAACATTTTCGCCTATATCAACGTATTACTCTACATTCTGTGATCCCATATTATTTGATTTAATTTTTTTTACTTTTTTTTTTTCTTTTTTTTTCGTTTGTCTAATTACGTATTAATAGATTTAAGAAAAGGAATTGAAATTGAAATTGAATTCGTACAAAACTACTCATACATAGGCATTTGCTATCTAAAAAAAATAAGAAAAAGAAAAAATATATAAAATATTTACATAAGAAAATATTTCTAATTTTTTGCGAAAGATAATAGATAAGAACATTATATCCGTTTCGAAGCGAATTGTAAACAGTGGCCGCGTTAAGTGAACATCACCGATTGTTATTTTAATTCGTATTGGCATCTTCTGACTGTATATCTTGGAATTTGATCTCAACTTCTGAAAAATTAATGAATATGTCAGGGAACGGAATATCCATAACTAGCATTAGCTGATAATAAGATAGTCGCGGTTAAGCAAACCTAACTAACTCTTGCGAAAGAATTCGAATCGTTTTGAATGGACTTTATGATTATAATTTCGTTTCAATAAAAGGGCCATAACATAATGATACCAAGTAGTTAACAAAATAAGTAATAGATAATAAGAAGATAAGATAATAAATAAAGAGTAAGAGAATTTGATGATGGCCCGAATTTTCCAATGTTTGGAACTCAGCACACTTTGGCACACACATGGCACATTTTTAACGAAAATCTTATGATGATCTTAGTTAAGCACAAGAATCGACTTATTGAATGAAAATAGCTTCAGGTCGAATGGATTTAATGATCTTTGTTCTGTTAGTAATACATATATAGCTATACCTAGCTCATTATACTTATTTTTCGTTTCATTTAAAATATCTGCTATATATTTGCAATATTCAAAAGAAAGCATCAGACATCCTATATATGTATGTATGCATATATACCACCTTCTGGATCGGTGTCAAACTCAGAATCGATTTGTCTATGACATACAAGCTGTGTGTGTGTGTGTGTGTGTGTGTGTATGCTTTTGGCAATCTCTTGGTCGATATGTACTTCAAATTAAAGAATGCAAATTTGTCCGTCCGTCTGCGATATATAGTCTCGTCATTGCAATTATTAAGCTATTGAAACGTTGCAACTTCTCGTACACAAATTGATATTGAAAATGAGACAAACCGGTCAAAGTACACGCCTTCTCGATACTAATCTAGTAATAATAACGGGCAATAAATACCGAAACATAAAATAAATGGTAGCGGATACAAGCCATGTCTCTAATCGATCAAATTTTCTCATAACTTAATTTAATTTTAATTTTATTTTGTAAAAGTCACTGCCGAAAGAGAAGAAGAGGTGTACAAACAGTAGCTTAAGGTCGACTACAATGTACGCTATTAACAATGTAATTTAAGAAAAAAAAAAATATTTTTTTTTTTTTTCAATTTTTAAATATTTACTCGGGGACGTGAAATGGTTTACAATTTGTCACAAAACGAATATAACATAATTCAATCTTATTTGTTTCTTTCCGAAAAAAAACAAAAAAAAAAAACATTATTTAAATATCAAATTTTTGTTCATATATATATGATTATTATTAAAGTATGTTCATTTTACATTTGTATGTATGTTTCTCGAAATTAAAAATATCGTTTTTTTTTTTTTTCGTTTTTCTAATTGCATTTTCAGTTGATTTTGGCACACATGCTTGAAAAAAAAAGGAAATAAAAACAAAATCATTTTATATTTAAGTATTCATGGGAAATAAGAAAGAGAAAAAAAATAGAAAATAAAGAAAATATAAAAAACAAAAAGCAGAAAAAGAGATAAACCCGTAGTTTTTTGGTTGTATAAACGCATTATTATCGCGCAGTTTTTAAACTAATTGGAACATCGCTTACTTATAAATAACTCTAAATATGTTATCTTAATAAGTCGCAATTACTATCAATATTTAAAATTCAAAATTTAAATCTTCAAGACGTTTGAGCAAATAATTTGAACGTAAACTGTTTTTTTTTTTTTTTAAGTTTTTAATAACAAAGATTACATATATTTTAACGTTTTTTTATTATATTTTTATTATTATTATTATTTTTTTTTTTTAATCAATTATTTGCTTTTATATAAACCTTAGTGTAGGTAAAACTATTTCACATATTATTTTCTCGTTCTGTTTTTTTTTTTTTCCTATAACTATTAAATAAAATTAATATTCTTGCATTTAGAAAATTTAACAAAAGAAATTATATTTTTGAATATTTTTGAAATTTTAAAAGCGCCAAAGCAATTACTTAAAAGTTCATAATTCACTTGTTACATTGATTGCGGAAAGACAATCGTACATTATTTTTAGCACTTCCTTGGTGAAGTCAAAAGTTTTCATCTAATACTTGGTTATTACAAAATCGAGAAAAAAAAGAAAACAAGGAAATAAATAAATAAATAAAGTAAACACCTAAAACATGGCACCTAAGTTTTTATTTAATTTAGCATACTTGGAGATAGGCGTTATCTATACATAAACATAATACAAATTGTTCAAAAAAAACCTGAAGGCCATTACGTTCCTATGGATGACCTATTAGATGCAAAAACCATGGTACAATTGTTAACCAAGTCAAACATTAAGAGAGGGAAAAACGAAAAAAAACCGAAATCAAAAACAAAAGATTCCAAGTCGCATAACCTGTTACAAGTTACAAAGTATTGGTCAAAATCTTGGTACAATTCTTGAGCGAGGTCTTTCAAAAAGTGAAAAAAAGTGACTCCAATCGGTTAACAGACACACGCTACATAGAAAAGTAGCTTGCAACCCATGAAGAGATCGTCAAGAGAAAAACTCATTCGTGACTGGCAGGTTTGCTCGTAGTGAAAAATCTGTGCGGAGAGAGAAATAATTGTCGCGTGAAAAGAAACCAACATGGACATACGCTTAATAATCTCCTTGATTATTATTATTCCACTAACTTTCAATTCATCCGAAAAAAGTCACTACGATGAGATTATCCCTTAATATGCTGCTAGCAGCCAAACGAATCGAGTTGCTAAACACATAACTAGTTGAGCACCGCAAATGGTTGAAAATTTCTACATTAGAAAGGAATCTATCTAATCTAAAAGGCAAAACTTATGATGTTAGAAAAGATGATTTGACGAAAAGATGAGAAACATTTAAGTCATCGAGCAAATTTGTGCTTGACCTCAGGTCCCATAAGGACGAACAGGTAAAATGAATGCAATTTAATGGAAGGCTCCGCAAAAGGAAAATTTTTGGATTATCTCGGAGAACTCTGTCCAATTAATATGAAAGATACAAGTATTAGGTTTGGCAAAATGATTTTTTTTCTCATTGGAGTTCCCTACCCAGCCGCATTATTATTTTTATATCTTTTTTCTAAAAAAAATTATCGCATACCTATCATATGCATAAGATAAGTATCATGCGATTTCTCACTCTGGTTTGATCTAGACTAAATGTTGTGTTATGAATAAATCACATCGAAAAAATTAATTATTGTAATGTAGGGATCAGATACGAAGTTCGATATATCTATTTCTCGTATATAATTTCTGTAACTGATTTAAAATTTTTCTATCGCGCGCAAGGAATACAAAATTAAGTTACATTTTCAAATGTTTTAAGCGATATGACAAAGTAATAAAAAAAAATTATTTAAAAAAAATCTCATATATAAAAGTCACTTTGAACTCAAAAAAAAAAAAAAAAAAACATTTATGACTAGGTTATAGATTTAACACAAATTGAAGGCGAAAATAGTATTCTTGTAATTTGCTAAGGAAAGCATGGTTAGAAGATAGTAAATGAGTTTCCATTCAGGAGAAGTCAGTAGCAATCATTTCAAGGAATACAAGTCAATGAATTATATTTCAAATTTTTAATCGCTGCAGTTCAATTAGATGAAATTTATTATTACTAATTGCGTGGACAATCCATACCAAGATCTAGAAGATCTATTGTACTCGCCCGTGCCCATAGCCTTCCAGTTTTAGGATTCGCATGAATTCCGTCAACTTCTTTTTTGAAGCGCAGCATCGCACCGTGTCTGGCGTTATGAAATGCTCACCAAACACATGGTGTCTAATTTTGCAGATACCCTCACATTTACGTACAACAAGATACGACGTCTCACTCATTCCTTGGCCGAATCTGCATAAATCAGTATCGGACACATTTATAGCTTTCATCTGAAGGCACCGAAAGGAATTATGACCCGCGCAGAAACTTGTGACTAAATGCAGGTCGCTTCTTCTTAGTTGCAGTAGTTTATGTGCCATACCGGAAGATTTTCGGAATTATTTATGCCTTGCTTCCAATGGCAATCCAATCTTTTTTGTGCTTCTGCATCAGTGGCTTCTTGATATGTCAAAGGAAGATTGAGGACCTATCATGACCGCCATTTGGTTGAAACGGGATCGTGTGAACATTTTTCAAAAGTACTTATCCTATTTATAACAAGAATTTTACATGAGATCCAGACAAATTACTAGTGACAATAATTACATTATTTTAGTTAGACATGTACATAAAATGTTCTTCCTCCGAATGAAAATATGAAACTAAAATTTCCTACATCCACACGCATACGCTATGTTTTAATTTTGATTAAAAGAGCAAAAATCTTTTTAAAAATACAAATGCTTAAAAAATAAATATAAAAATAAATATAAATAAAAAAAATGTTTTGTTTTGTTTTTTTGTTTTTTTTTTTTTTTTTTTTTACATATATAATTTACTATAAGCGCTTGAATGTTTTACATGCTACGAATACATATATATATATATATATATATATATAAGATTTGTTGCACTTTACTTTGGGAATATTTTGTTTGTTTGACTATTGGCTTTTAGTTTACTATCTAAAACCCTTTGAAATGGAGACAAAGTGATCATTGTCTATTATCTTTTCATTGATAACGGATGAGGTGGGTGAAAGCTTTTTTGAATATTCTATGACTTGCAAATGCCAGAGATTTCGAATTTCTTGCGGTGAGATGCTATGCCAAGCAAACAAAAATTCAATGTCACTGAGATCAGTCTTTCCCGTAATTAATTGCTGATAATTATCACTACGCAGTACATAAGGAGATAAAGTGGTTATTGTAAGGTTGCTTTGTTGAGCTAAAACTCCCGTTATGTGAACATCATCAATCCAAAAGTATTTATATTGCTGGGCTGCACTATATAAACGAAAGACAACATCCGAGGAATAGATGATCGCATAACCGGGACAATAGGGTGGATAATAACGGCCCGTGTATTCTTTGAAACTGACACGCCATTTAGAGCGATAGGAACGTTTCACCAGTGAACCAATATATTGTTCACAAAAGAGCAAATTGTGCGGATGATGAAATAGCTCCAGGGATGCACTAAAAATCTGCTTAGTGATATTCATTTTTAATTTAATATTTGTTTCGTTAAAAGTTGCGCGTATGGTGGTGCCAGTGCTGGTTGCGGTGGCGGTGGCGGTGGCGGGGGTGGTGGTGGTGGTGGTGGTGGTGGTGGAGCTTGAGTTTCTTGCAATGTTGGTGGGATATTCCGATGGTTCATCATCATCTAATATAGCTTCGTTTCTTACTTTCAAGTAATTTAATAATTGCAATGTATTAACATAGACATCATCATCAACTTTAATCAGTATTTGGGCGTGAGCGCAATTTGAAATGAACCATTTGAAAGCCATTATATGTTTATAAGTCATGTTGCGATAGTCATCGACGAAAGAGCCCTGCAGCATATCACCGTATTCATGATTTTCGGATGTCAGCGTCCGCTGTAATTGTGAATTTTCGACAGCGCCAAGTAAAAATATAATCCTTAGAGGAGAATGAACAATGACGCGACTTACACTGCCCCAGGTTTCGCGTATAAGTTGGCGTTTCCCATGATTCGCGGGAGCCGAGTGCACTAATATTAAAGCTTCAATATAATTCGCACAAACGGATTGAGTCATTAGGTACTTAAAGTCTGTTAAATCAATCAATTGGTTAAAGTCTTCGGCGGGCAGTGCAAATGAATGCCATGAAGTTAGCGTATCACCAAAATTGTGTAGACGTTTCCTTCTTTCAAATGATAATGTTAATGATACTGGTGGCTTTGTTGTTATTGTTTTTGTTGTTGTTTTAATTGTATTCCTTAATTTGCTTTTATTCTTTTCATAATTATTTTTACTAAATATGGAACTTGTTTTTGTACTTAAACTAAATTTGTTGTTGTTCGAGTGATTAAGCGAAGTTGTCGTCGGAATTGAAAACACTATCTCGTCGTTACTTTCGTTACTTAAGTTTGTACGCTTGAAAAATAAATGTTTAGTGACATAATTTCCTTTATCAGCCCCTTCACCGCCGCTATCGTTATCTCTATCATTAGATCCATAACTATTGATCGTATTTATCGACACTGTTGAGGCATTAAGTATAATCGGTTCTTGTACCGTGATTAACCATATTAGCACACAGACATTTAGACCCAATATTATACACCAAATGGGTCGTTTCTCGAACATGACCTAAGTTTTGGATATTTAGTGTTTTATATTTACTCTTCCCTCCTTCTCTATATATTTATTTTATTATTTATTTTGTAAGATCTTTTAACTTAAACTTTGGAATAATATTAACTGATTGACTAACTGATTATTAACTTACTGGCTTTAAGCTAACATATATATGGTATGTATTTTATTTAGAGGTATTAAGTGATTAAAATATGTATCGTACGGCTTCTTTGCGAGTCTTGCAGATTTTCTGGTTCTATTTGATTATTGCACGCTTATCGATTAACAACAGCGTTTATAACATCGAGATTTTGATATCTTGCGCCTTTCTATTTCAGTATCACGTAAAATGATTGTTGTTGTTGTTGTTGTTGTTATTGTTGTCGTCGCTTCTTGTAGATGTTTTTTACGAGTTTTCTGGTACCGCATTGCAATATATTGCCGTTAATCTTTTTCTAGCTCACAAAATCACTTTTCGCTCAATTAATCTGAAAATATAATAAAAACAAAAAAACAAAAAAAAAAAACGTATTAATAAATTGTTACCGCCTATATACCAGATTGCATATCCGAACAATATCCGCCCAATTTTCAAGGTTTGTAAAATCGCAATCTTGCTAAATATTTAAATTGAAGATTTTGGGAAGACGTTTAAAGGAGAAAAATATATTTTTCAATCGAGGAACTTATCCAAAGAATCAGACATAAATGTATGGATGTCGAAGGGAACGAAGAGCGAGAACAAAGACATAGTAATATATGCACGACATATACCACCCACAATATAAAGAATCAAGTTAGGTGAAAAGAAAAAAAAAAAAAATTTGCATACAAATTATTTAAATAATTTACATATAGATCGAAGGTCGAATAACAGTTCGGAGTTGCGTCCAGCCGGAAGAATGTACCAAACAGAATTTTATTGAATACATTTCGTTACATGATTTTTGACATATCTTAAGCGATGTTATAAGCAATCAGACTAACGTAACTTCATAGCTACATTTTTTAAACCACACACATACACATCTGCAATTGCTCACTACTTTAAATAAAATCAAAAAAAAAAATTGATTATAAAAAAATTCATTTAAAAAACGCTAAGACATATTAATTATTTTAAGTTAGGTTTATGCCAAGAAATTATTTATAATATCATTTTACACTAAACACACAGACACGACAAATAGAAACTGATAGAACTGAACGCAATCATACATACCAAGGTAAGTAGGCAAACATTTGTAAATGTTATTACAGTTTCTAAGACATGTCACAACTTGATCCAAAGCAAACAGAACAATTAATCGATATTTATGAAAAATGTCTCAGTGTCTCTTCCCCTTTCGGAAGGAGGCACTCAAAGCCAAAATATAATTTATATAATATATATATATATAAAAGGCACTGAAACGACAGGCCGGCCAGGTCAGCGCGTTCTTAAAATGTTCAATTTCCTTTCACAAAATTAAAGGATATATTGTATGTAAGGTTGTATGAAAAGATAAATTGCATTTAACTGCGGCATTGTGTATATTAAAATTAAGCTAGACAGGTGTTTCCAAGCCCAATAGACAGTTCCAATTGACGATTGAATATTATCACGTTCAAGTAAATATTACAAAAAAAAAAAATAAATAAATAAATTCCATTTAATTAAAAATGTTAATTAATTTAACAAATTAAACTAGAATTTCTAATTAATTGTTTGTCTATTTAATCGTATTTTTATGAATCCCACGGCCACATAGAATATGATGGGACATCTCACTCGTCCCTTGGCAGAATCTGCATGAATCGATATCGATTATATCCATGCTTTTCAGCTGGCACCTGAGGGAATTATGTGCCGTGTGGAAGCCGGTTACTAAATGTAGATAGCTTCTTCTCAGTTCCAGAAGATTATATGGCCTACTGGAATATTTTATATATGATGGTAATAACATAAATGGAATAAATGAATTTCTGTAACAGGCAAGAAGGGACAAAACTGTGCTATCAGTTTGTGTTAGTTGCAATCCCCTTACAGATCCCTTCATTTACGCAAATAAGAAATTGATAGATATTTATGTAAATACATTATGTAAAATATTTGTTGGTTTTTTAAAAAAACATTTTGTTAATAATAACGAATCATATTTAGCGTATGAATATTCATTGCATTAAATGCTCTGAGTTGAATTCATTACCTTTACTTAGTTAGTTTATCATTTTAACGTATGTGCTATACACTAATACTAATAATGCAAATAGGTTAAGCAAAATTCATATAGTTCATATAGTAAAGTTACATTTGGAAAAATTTCCCTTTTTTTTTTATTGTAGGACTAAAAGATCTTACCACCCCATGCGTGCTAAGTTTTACAAGTGCTTTGTAACGCTTTCAGGATTCACGGCTAAGCTATTATCGAATAAAGGTTAAGTAAGGAATAGTGATGAGCACTCATTCTTGTGACTACTGTTTATCATCGCGTTATAGCAATCAGTTTTTCTTATCTATCGTTTCGCATGCAAAAATCCCCTAACATATAAATAAGATATTAATTTCTCCTTTTATCTTACAAAAAAGAGAAGAAAAAAAAAAAAAAAAAAATACCCACGCCATGTTATAGAAACTAAACTAAAAAAATTATTGTTTCAGTTTCATGTATTTATTTTGATTACAAACATACAAACATAATGGCATTGCCGACCACATTAATTATCCTTTTCACCGGCTTGTTGATACAACTTTTTAGAAATGTTGTCATATTGTTCGCTAAAAGAAAATTTTCGCACGTTATTATCATACGTCGAGAACAATCGATTTAATTGCATATACTCTGCTATACACATAAATCTCATATGTTTACATATTGTAGTCCTGTAGTGTTTTAAAATGTTGATGTAATAATAAAAAATCGACATTTTAACTTATGCATTAGTTAAACTGTGCATTGAAGCGTAAACAAGAATTTATTATAAAAAAAAAAAGCAATTCTTTGGTAATTGAAGGTAATTAACTGAATACATTTATTATATATATAAAATATATATATAATAAGCCGTAATACGATATTATATAACACGCTCTGCACGAATCTGCTTGCCCTTAATGCATTTTAAATTCGAAAAATTTATTCCTTTTTTTGTTTCTTCTCTAGAAAATCGTAAATTAATTTCTTCTTACCTTTTTAGGAAAATTGAACGTGTATTTAAAAAAAAAAATCGCATGAGATATATTATTCATACCCATTATCTCTCGCTATACATTACATCTCATATCTTTTAGATAGAAAATGAATTCCAAGCACAAAACATAACTGGTCACTTCGTTAATCGGAAGAAGTAATGCCTGCTGACAACAGGGCCGCCGTGGTAGCACATTCAAGGTTCTGCATCCATTCCTAACCGACAACTCTCATTTCGAAGCACTTACCCGACATGATCCAAAAATGTACTTAAATACCATAAAAATGGGAAGAGCAAAATTTAAAAAAAAAATATATATAAAAAATGGCTCCGCGTATGACTATTTTGTCGACCATACTGCCAGAGATAGGTTCAATTACTTCCGCCATCAAAGTTATTGCAAATGACTTTAGATGATAAAATTCTTACTTATAATTTTTCTACCGTTGACTAAAATTGAACTGATAATACCAAAACCACACCAAATCATAAACTTAATTTCGATCTCGAATTTTATCATCTTAGAAACTGACAATTGCAAGGTATATGATCACTAAAATATGATTGTGCTGCATGGCTCGATGGCATTCAATCATGTTCTGAAGAGGGGAAGCTTTCTTATTCGACCTTACAAATGTGAAATACACATCTTTGTGCGGAACGATAGCGGTATTGCCAAGTGGAATGTCTTACCTAATTGATTTGATCGAATTGTTATTTATCATGTAGCTTCCGCTATCAAATTTTCTAGTTCTCCATTCTAGCATGGCTTTCTGATAGGACAATCAACTATTATCCTTCAACTATTGCCTTTTAGACTTGACTTCTCATGTTTTCAAGTTTTCTTCAGTCACCTGCACTCAGATGTTGCATCAAATTTCTGAACTAGTTATCCATAAACGGATAAACTCTTATCTTCCTAACAGATCATTCAAAGTTCCGTGTAACGCCATCGCCTTTAATGAATTCGCTATAACGTCAAGCAGCCACTTAGAACCTTTTTTATTCATCCTATACATCAATTCCTTCGATGATAAGATCCGACCATATCTTAACGTAAATTGATGATGTTAAACTGTTTTCTTCTTTTCCCTTGGAATCGCACTACTATCTCTTTCAATCTGACTTAAATAACTTGACTACATGGTGCTTATTCAATTTTATGAAATTAAATCTACAAACAAATGCAAGAAGCTTTCTGTCTTAACAAGGAAGTCACTCAGTACTGAGTATTTGATTGACTCACACCAGTTGGAAAGCATTGATTCGTTTCATCGATTAAAGGGATTCTATTCGACCAAAAATTACCTTTTAATTTGCATATTGATCTCTCTTTAAGTAGAGCTAAGTCCGCGCTAGGTTTCATTACGAGCTGGTCCATAGAGCTAAAGGATCCTTATATTACAAAAAAGCTATATATGTATTAAGTATGCCTCGGTTGTGTGGTCTCCCTCCTATACGTGTTATGTAGATTCAATTCAAGAGCAATTCGTGCTGTTTGGCCGGACCCGTTTGTCTCTCTTTGCCAACTTACGAACATAGGTTGCTATCGTTATCCTTGCCGACACTCGAGAAACGTAGATTCACTCTTAATGTCTCTCTCCTCCTTAAAGGTACTATCGATTCGTCTACATTGCTAGGTGAGATAAACTATAATGCCCCCCCCCCCCCCCCCCCCCCCCCCACCGCTTTCCTAGGCACTTCATATTCATTAAGCTGAGTCAATGTAAATATAATTGTGAGTTGCTTAGAGTTAGTTGTAGAAATCTAAATGATGTCTGTCACTTAATCTCGATGTCGGATTCTTTAAAGTCTATGAAAATGACTTTGCTTAATACGTGCGATTTGCCTACGTCGTATTTAAAATAACTTTTAACCTTAATAATCGAAAATTAATTGTTGCTTACTGCATTGGTTGGCAAGCTTGTGCTGGCTTAGGGGTTCATTTGCAGTTTGGTTCTGTGCTGGTTGTCTCTGCGCAAGTAGTTGTGCATATTCTTCTTTTCTTTTTTTTCCTTCTCATTTATTTATACATGAATTATAATTTAATAATATATATATATATTTCCCCCCCATTTCTTCTTAGATACGTTATACTAGTTTTTAATGTTAACTAATACAAGATTTACTTCTAAAAGTCAATTGAATTCGACTGTTAATTTGTAAATAAAATAAAAAAAAAAGTTTAGAAAAATAAAAGAACAACATCTATACATAACAGTATATACAGCTTCTTTTTAATGTTCACTGACTCTTGGTAACTCTCTTCAATGATCTTTCAGTCATTCAAGGCGCGAACGATAAAACTATCACGACTTGAAGAGACTTTAAAGAGTGATCGAAACTTGAAAAGATAAAGAAATAACTGAGGTAACTAAATCGCTGTAATCGTTATCGTTATCGTTGTCGTTCACTCTAATCGAATATATGTCGTTGATGTATACAGTCAAACCTGTTTTTGTGCGGTAGATAGGGACCGCAGAAAAAAAACCGCACAAAAAAAAATATTCAAAAACTTCATAAATAGCTATAAGAAATAATTTTTCACAGCATATTAAAGAAAAATTTTTTTATGCGGTAGAGAGGGACCGCATAAAAAAGGTCTTACTTAGAAAATATGTCAAAGCTTCACGAAATAGCAAGAAAGTGCTTTCCAAACAAAATAAATAATTAAATTACACATTGAAACATTTAAAAAAATTTTAATTTCTAATTTTAAAAAACTATATCTAAATAGGGAAAACAATTAATTTACCTTTAATCTCACTATAAAATTAATCCTGTCTTAATGGTTAAAAGGTCAGCAATTAACTAAAGTTATTAGATGGCGCAGTATGTACATATTGAAATTGGCTGATGCAATATATGCATAAGAATATTGAACATGCCTAATGAAATAGGCTGATGCAATAGGTATGAAAATGGCTGTTGCAATGTGTACATACACACTGATAGCAAAAAAAGTGATGCCAACACAGTTCAGATTGACCTAACCTCTCGGCGAAATTCAATGTGTCGATATTTATATACCGCACAAAAAAAGAATCGCACACAAAGAATCGCACAAAAAAAAGCGCATAAAAAAAGACCGCACAAAAACAGGTTTGAGTGTATATTAAAACATTAAAGAAACAGTTGACATAACATACCATATACCTAACAAGCAATAAAACCATTGCCTATTAATATATTATTGCAAAGGAATCTGAGGCAGAAAACCTATTTAAGACGTGATGATTGCTGCAAGCTGATCTTCTGATTGAAATATTCATTTATTGTCTATATATTTTGTAAATCAATTTACAAAGTATGGAATTTTAAAGACTGCCGCCTGGATAACTTCAGATCATATGCTCGCCTGTATTGAAAACTCCACCGAACTTGGTATTTGAAATCGCGACGATGGAATTGTTAGTCGCGATTCTTCGCCTATTCGACTAGTTATGCGAATAAGGTAGAAGCATTTCAATTATTTTAAGTATATTCCATATATACGCTGCCACTTTCTAGCTTTGTTTCAAGCAATCGCTTAACAAGCCACTACAGCCGAATTTAATTGGTCCAATAACAGATGCACGTCTGTGCATGCACAAATGATCCGTATCAATGTGTTTGCTTTCGCAATAATACAAATCCTTTTTAAAAACCCACTAAGAACACGTTTTTAATAAAATATTAATAATTTTGTAAGTTTCTATAGCCTACAGCCTCGACTGGAGACATGTAGTCCTTATCAAATGCAAAATAAAGTCACTTTTGAACATTACCCAACGTAATAACAACAATCATAAATATTTAATACGTTGCATGCGCGGCTGTTATTAGTTGCTTGCGTTAATTTTGATCGGCGACTTCTATAGGTAAAAATGATAAACAAAATTGAAAAGACCAGTGCATATAACATAAAATAATAGTTTTCCATTTAACATTGCTGAGTTATGCAGCGCATGGCGATGCTAAATCATCGAGCACTCAAAACTACATCTTCGAGCTTCGTTAGTTTTATCGCCGAACCTGAAGAAATCTACTCCCGACGCCCACTATATACGTTCGGATGCTTATGATGATGCTTCTCCATCATATCCCTAATTGTCGGCGACGCGGACGACCAAAATAGTTCACAGACCATGAATTGCGAGACTTATTGGAAACCGACAACCCCGGGCAAACTCGCGAAAAACTTTCGGATAACTTAATACTGTTCCTAGGACGAAAAGTCGCTCTCATACGAATTGACTGAGAATGTCATTTCGAACCTTTTCAACATCGCGGTTTCATTGCTTGCCAGGCAAACAGAAAACAAACGTTTTCTGTGTTGTATTGTGGCAATGGCGCGATGAAAAGTCTAAGCGCAAAACGTTATAGTTCAGTGCAGTAAACCGATTCTTGTCGACACCAAAGCAGAAAATTCATGTCTCGAAAGTCATCCTGTGCCTATGGTGGAATCAGGAAACTGTAGTGTGTTACCAGCTATTAAAACTGAACGAAACTTTTAGTGCAGACGTCAAGTTGAACGACGAATTGACTGAAAATAATCTTTTTTGCCACTTATTGCAAGAGTGGTCGGTCAAGCATATGCTATTGCAAACCAAATGGGATGTTCTGCCACACCCAACGCAGTCACTAGACACGGCGTCTCCTCATTACCGCTTCTTCAGTACGGGATGTCTGGTAAGCAGCTCCGCAAAGTTAAAGAAGTGCGAAAATGCATTGTTGTTGATTGGATCGCGGCCAAAAGTATCGTAAAATATTTTGAAGATAAGATGATGGAAAATATTTTGCTTAATTTTTCTCAATAAATGCCTTTTTCAAGTGAACAAATGGCCAAAATTAACGCAAACACATAATAGATAAGCAAATTGATTGTTGTTGTTACTGCAAATAATATTATTTGTTACGACATCGAATCCCTGTCCAAAGGTCGAGTTATTTATAATACAACTAAAACAAACCAAAAAAAAAAAAAAAAAGAAGAAGTTTCTTTCTGTCAACAATAAAACACAGTTCAATAATTCAATTGTCAATGTCAATTGCAAAAACGTTAGGAAAATCGTTATTTTATCAACATAACGGTAACATAACCGTATGTATGTATTTATCCTTGGTTAAAGATTTCTTTCATTTTATCATATATTGTTTGTCACTTACCGATAATATTTAACAATAATGCCAATTATTCGTTAACCGATTATTTACGCAAGCAATGTCGTCAATGGCCGCCATTAACAATAAATTAACTGAAAGCAAAAAATTGATTTTCTTAAAGAAAACTAACAATTAAGAAAACTTTCTTCAACATTTTATTTATTTTACATGGCTCTTATAATATACATATATATATATATATATATATATAATTATAAAATAACATGTTAAAGCAATTATTTTAAATAAAGTATGAAAGTTCGCAACACATTCATGGTAAGAAGTACCTGCCGCGTAAAGGTCACTTAGGCAACAATATTATATTTCATTATTGTTAGGTTTCAGTTACGCTATTTTCATTTCAGGGTCAAATACTTGCACTCACCAAAGTTCTGTAATGTAGTTATATAAATAAGTTTTAAATTTTAAGAAAATTCTTGATGGTAAGTCAAACATTACTGCGAAGTATCGAAAAAAAAAAAAAAAAACAAGAGAAAAACACATAAAACTCAAGAGCTTAGTGGCCTTTTGAAATTTTTCAATGTACAAAAGTGCACATAAATAATTTTCATTGTTGGAATTTTCTTAATAGCCCATCACTCAATGATCTGCTTTAGTATATGGTCACGAATGAATCAACTCTCTCTCTCTCTCTCTCTCTCTCTCTCTCTCTCTCTCTCTCTCTCTCTCTCTGTCTCTCAATAAGTGAAGCAAGCAACATATCTATTGTAGAAGCAAATAACGAACAACACAACATTCATCACTAACGGCCGTAATCCCAACGACATGAGATGTAAAATAATGTATCAGTCAGTTGGTTATTTAACTTATTCGGTAAGTGAACGAGTGAACGAGTGAAAGGCATTAGATCATAAGGGGAAAATCTATTAAAACAAAAGTCACCACCAATCATTTACGTACCGTTTATAAATATACATTTGTACGTGACTTGATAATGTAAGTGGAGAGGATACGTACCACAAGTGTGCTATATACTTCAAAAATTCTTTTCACATTTATGTACAACCGTTAATAGCATAGACATGCTTATTAAAAAATTTCGATTTCCAGAGTTCGATGAACTCTTAAAGTTTTTTTTTATTTATTTCATTTTTTCAAATCGACCACACTGAATAAGGGGGAAAAAAAAGTAAATAAATAAATAAAAATTTGAAAAGAAAACTCGCAACCCTTATACAAGTGACCCAAGGAAGCGTGGCCAGTACGAGTTTTTGAATGGATTTCATTATAACCGTTACTCTGCATGCTTGACCCATTTCGCTTAATGTCTTTAGTTATTCATATAAAGAGCTTTTGAAAATCAAGCCTGATATTACGAATGGCCGCAGAAATGGTTCGATCCTTGGGCCAAAAGATTTTATCAAAATATCCTGTCAGTTGAAGAACAAGAAGACAAGACAAACAACAGTTAGACAGACGATTCTGGTTCGATCTGACGTCCTTCTGGGTGTTGCATACAGCCAGCCACATAACCACCAAGCGATGTAGGGTATTAAAAATATTATGATGAAAAAAATTGTGCATCTTCGACTTTAGGTACACTTCCACGTTACTTCATTTTCAAACACTATGGTCATTGTACTGTGGACGTGTCCTTGTAAAGTCAATTCTATTAAATATTTCATCAAATTTTTTTTTCTTTCATCTTTTTGATCATAGGCAAATGGGTCTTTAGGGGTCTTGAATAAGGCTTTTTCATCTTTTAATAATTTCTCATAGCATTCAAGTAAGTTTAGCAATAGCGAAGTATAGAGTGAAGGAGATGAAAAATACGTTTTTTTTATTAATAAAGACACTGATCAAATGATATAATAAAGGAGAAGTAAGAGAGAAATTTGTTGAGCAGTGTCTGGCAAAGTATCAGTATATGCAGAAATATCGATTGAATTTGGACTGTTAATGGGTCCCAAGGAGAAAGCGAATCAAATTTCATGAGAATTGATTTTATTTCGAAAATTTCTTTTTTAACAAATTCGAAGAAATTTTGTATTCTTAGCGAAAGTCAAGCACACGAAGATCATTAAATTTCAAGGACATTTGCTTGGTACATGTTCAAATAGTTAACATTTTTTACTATCTTATTTTAATGCGGCCTATTGGCTATTATTTCGCAAACAAACTTATTGCTGCTAAATATATGTGTTACACGTAATTAACGGAAAGAAACATATTTGAATCTGTTCGAAAAGAAAAACGAAATTTATCTCTGTTTGCACGGGTTTGCCATACGCAATTCTCGTACTATGTATATATATATGTAAATGCTCTGTTGAAAATAGCTTCTAGACGGCAAGCGCTAGCCTTCCAAATCATCTTCCATAATCTCATACTTCTAAGCGAGAGATCTGTCAATTGTCTAACCGTAGCCGTCGCTTATGAAATCGGCAGATGATTTTTACATTCAAAGGAGGATAAAATTTGTGCCGTCACTTGAAGAAAGAACAGTTCGATTATTATTTGACAGGGACGAGGAGTCTCATAAGCCGTCACAGAACAGAAGAAAGACATAATACTTATCTAAGATTGAAAGCAAAATGTTGCTTATGTAATACTAGACTTACGGCGCCCCGTCAACTTGATGGTGAATTGATTTTAAAAATTCAGCACAAGAAAGTCACTGTCTTCAGATGTCACATATATGCTTTTGATGAAATAATGCGGCAAATATGTATGTCCACTTTTTTTTGACGGGACACGCCCACTTTTCCTATATTCTATGGGAATCATCACAGGCGCGACAGTGAAAATATTAGCCAGAAGTTTGGCGTAAATAACCCCTAGTCGAATATAGGCACGAGAATGGAAAATGGAAAGCGATCTGTTCCCACCCACGCCCATAATGCAAAAAAAGACTAAAATAAGCTCATCGCAGGCGCAGTAATGAGGATATAAAGCAGAAGTTTGGCGTAAATAATCGCTACTCGAGTACGGACACGAAGTTGAAAAATGGAAAGCGATCTGCTCACACCCACGCCCCTAATGTGAAAGAAGCCACCAAAAAAAAAAAAATTCTCCGCGAACGCCGATGCTTTTTTCGTATTGGAACTACTTTTGCATTTAACATAAAAATGATTGCAGTGAACATCTGGACCATAGATTTTCGAAAACGTCTCGAAAATATGAAAAAATCGTTTGTGTTTTGCAAGATTGTTTTAGTTTCTTTCGCATAGTGATCGGGTCTGGGAACAGATGATACCCATGTTTTAATCTCGTATTCTTAATCGATCAAGGAATGTTTATGCTCAAGTTCAGTTTCCTATTTTCATTTTTGCGACAGCGATAATCCGCCAATTGACGAAATCTAACGTTAAGTAGCAAATGAGTTTGTGAACAAAACAAAATTGCGTGTGGTTCAGAAGCAAATCATTTCCATTCGCAGTAAATACATGAAAGCTTTAATTTTTTTTTGCTAAAGTGTTCGTTAAAAAAATATCTTGTATGGAACGATACGAACACTATGCTCACTTTGAAATGAATATTTCTAGAAGCTTCACTAAGAACTGTGTGTCAACTGTTAATCTAATCTGCATTTAAATATATGAAAACTTGACGCTCTACTTACTAAAGTGTTCGTGAAAAAGTATTTCGGATAGAGAGATACGAACACTATACTGACTTTGAAATAAATATTTCTAAAGGCTCAACAAGATGTTCAATGTAAGTAAGCAAGTTCTTTAATTGTTGATCTAAAATAAAGAACTGTCTTATATCCATAACTAAGTTCAAACCATTTCGTATCTAATCAAGTTAGCAGTGATTGGGTAACAAAAACGTATCGCAAGGAGTAAATTTTTTTTATTCTCTTATTAAAAAACTCGTTTGATCATGAAAAAATTGTTTTTTTTTTTTTTTTTTTTTCTACTTTAGATAGATAATGACAATCCGATCAGACCAAGTCTTGTAATTAGGTTAGAAAGGCGTACTCCAACCAGCCATAATATATGTAAATATTTTCAGTGATATTACATAATAAAGAATAAAGATAATATATAGTGTAAAAAAAAATGTTATAACTTTAACCGCATTTTAATAGCTTCGGAAACCCTATATTTGAAAAGTATTTACTGTTAATTGGCAAAATGCCAACGATAAGTATTTTACTTTTTCGCCTTTCTCTTCCATGCAATTGCAGTCAATTTACCTACAAACTTTGCTCCCCATCAAAATCGTTCCTTTGCCAAATTTTATTTAAACGCTGCTATAACCAATCTGTTCAAAACGCTAGTTGAACAATTCAATTACTAACACATGGGTATATATATATATATATATATATGCCAGCAAAATTGATATAAATATAAATTGGAAACCACACATAAAATAAATCAATATTAGAGATAAAAAACAAAAAATAAAAAAAAATAATAAAAATAAGAACAAAAAGAAAAATAAGTTGAAGAAGAAGAAGAAGAAGACGAACAAATAAAAGAAATAAGAAACGATTTAATAAAATGCCAAACTTTAAACACTAAACAGCATTCATTCATTCATTCATTCATTCATTCATTCATTCATTCATTTATTCATGTTACAACAAAAGGAGAATTTATGCCAACATGAACTGATGTTTCATTTAAAATTGCATATATTCATAAAGAATTGAAAGTCCTTGAATAAATGAGATTTTAAGTCGCACATGACACGACACAATATCATACAGTATAACGCTAATTAAATGTATACATATTTATTTATCTAAATAATCCATTTATTTTTACTTAATAATTTTATAAGCAAAAGCAAACACAAATCAACAAGTAAAATAAATCAACAATTCTGTTAAGCATATGTATGATTGAATATGCAAACGACTTCCATGCGACTTTCATGCACAATTTTCCCTTTAATAAATGCTTTAAAATACCTTTCTAACAACTTATGCTTGCAGATAGTGTATAACTCATTAATGGACTTTGAGAAAATCGGACAATCGACCGTATTGTGAGTTGCGTTTTTTGCTCTTTTCCTTTTCAACGTACAAGCCGTACAAGCTTTCTCCTTATGAACCAACTAAAAATGTACCCAGGATCGTCACATACATATAAGCCAATGATCGAAGCTACATGCACCC